AGCCGGAGCAGGGCTGGGCAGGAGTGGGCAGTGCCTCCTTCCCTTCTCCACGCCCAGCGCCACTCGCCCGCCAGCCTCTCCGCAGACACTTGAGCTTATCTGGGCAGCTGTCCTCAGCTGCCCGCGTCCCACAGTGCTGCGCTGGGGTTGGGCCGTCTGTGGGGGAAGGGCCCCTGCCCACAGCCAGGCGGGGGTCACAACAGACAGGAGTGCCGGAATGTCACCCTCTCTGGTTGTGCGCCCGACCACCCGCAGGCAGACCCCAGGGATGCCTCCCAGGGGGTTCCCAGAGAGAGAAGCTCCCTCCCTTAAAAAGTTGGGGCCAACTTTAGGAGACTAAGGCAGGAGGATTGCTTGAGGCCAGGAGTTCAAGACTAGCCTGGGCAAAAAAAAAATAAAAAATAAGAAAAATTAACCAGGTGTGGTGGCACTCGAACGCAGTCCCAGCTACTCCGGAGGCTGAGGCAGGAAGATCACTCTGCCCAGAAGTCTGAGGCTGCAATGAGCTGTGATTGTGCCACTGGCTAGAGCCAGGGGGTATGAGAGCCCCTCCCAGCTAGGTGACCAGGGGCAAGGCACTGGCCTCTCTGAGCCTCTGGCGGGCCACAAAGCAGTGAAGTAGTCGCCCTCATTAACAGCACAGGTGTGCAGGACACCCTCCTGGCCGGCACAGGAGGCTCACGTGCCCAGCCTCGGCCCCGGGACAACCTGAGGAGCGTGGCCACCTCCCTGTTAAAGAGGAAGGAATTGAGGCTCAAAGCCCCAAGGATGTGACCCTCAGCCTTTGTGGTCTCCACACACCCGCAGGGTACCTTTTTCCAGGCATGTAGCAACAGGGCGAAGGAGCTGGCTTGGGGATTGGCTTTCTCTTTGGCAAACGCTGGGGGAGGCAGGGCTGGGACTGCGTCTGGCCAGGACAGCTGGGCTAGAGAAGGAGGCCTTGGTGAGCAGGCACTGGGCTGAGCCCCTGGGGTGGCCAGTGGGAGCAGGGGCCAAAGCCCAGGTGTCCAACAGCTGCAGCTGGCCTTGCCACACTCCCTGCCTCTCCCTGACCGCCGTGGTGGGCCAAGCTGCTGCCACCCCGCCCAGGGCCCACAGCCAGTGCCTGGACCAGGAGGAGCCTGGGGCCACAGGAGGCCGAGCAGAGGGAAGCAGGGCCAGGCCCCTCCTGGCCCGCACTGCACTCCTGGGGAGCCTGAGGGCCGGGAGCACGCACTTCCTGGAGTCCTGGGCCAGGTGTGGCAGCTCCTGCCTATAATCCCAGAGCTGTGGGAGGATCTCTTGAGCCCAGGAGTTCGAGGCTGCAGTGGGCTGTGACCGTGCCACTGCCCTCCAACCTAGGTGACAGAGCAAGACCCTGCCTCTAAGAGGAAAAAGGATCTTGTTGGGCCTCAGTTCCTGCTTCTGTGGGTGCCTTGTAAGGACTTACTGAGTCCAGGCTGGTAGTCTCCCCGCATGGGATCTGGCCCCCAGCAAGCACTTAACACAAGGTAGCTGTCACTGTACTTGGGGACGTAGAGCTCAAAGCAGAGCAGATACCAACACCCACAGAGGAGAGCAGAGCCCCCAGCACCCACACACCCAGCTGGCACCAGGATGGTTGGGAGTGGGTCATCCCGCAGCGGAGACCCCCAGCTCACCAGGATGACGGAGGGAGGCCTGAAGGAGGCCGCCCGCTCCCTGAATAGCGGCCTCCAGCCCAGCCCAGTTCCCTGGGTGGTGAGGCAGCCACTCTCAGGCCTGGGGCCAGGCCTATGCGGTTCTCATCCCTGCTCAGAGTCCTGCGGGTGGGGAGGTGGCGGTGCTGGCTCCAGGCAGGAACGGGGCAGGGTTTGGCTGGTGCCTCCCGTTCACCCTGCCCTTTCTCCATGCAAGCAGCAGTGGACACACACGTGCACAGAATCGCCAACCGACTTCGGTGGACCAAGAAGGCAACCAAGTCCCCAGAGGAGACCCGAGCCGCCCTGGAGGAGTGGCTGCCCAGGTGCCGGGTGGGGTCCCTGGGGGGCAGAATGGGGCGGGCCCTTCCCTCCCCCAGCACTGAGCCGGCCTCACCCCACAGGGAGCTGTGGAGTGAGATCAACGGCCTGTTGGTGGGCTTCGGCCAGCAGACCTGCCTGCCCGTGCACCCTCGCTGCCAGACCTGCCTCAATCAGTCCCTGTGCCCGGCCGCCCGGGGCCTCTGAGGGCCGTGGGCTCCAGCCTGAGTGCTGCTCTGGCTGCTGTCCGTGAAGTGCCTTTGTTGGGACCCACGGCCTGTTTAGTAAAGCTTTGAGGTCATTTGCAGTTGGGGTCTGGCTAACTTCTGTCCCCGAGGAGCAGGGGCAGGCGGGGAACCATGTGCCCAAGTGCGAATGTGTGTGCACCCACGCTCTCGTGCGTCTGGACCAGGGCTGCCTGGCAGGCCAGGATGGGGACGTGACAATCTGGGCTGTGCACTTGGAAGGGAGGGGGGAAGTGGTGGAGCCAGCTGTGGCCAGCTGCCGGAGCACCTCCGTGGGAACTGGCTGAGGACGCCGGTGCCCTGTCCTGCCCAGCACAGGCTGCCCTCCCAGAAGCTCCCCTGCCCGGACACCAGCGGCTCCTCCCTTGTGCACCTGGGGAGCCCAGCCTCTGCCGGGGCCCCACCCCTGTGTTTACTGAGCCCTCTGGCCTCAAAAGGGACACTAGGAACCCAGGCAGGGTGCCACAGGGCTCAAGGCTTGACCTGTATTTCCCTGCTACAGGTGGTGGGGGCCACGCTGGGCAAAGGGCAGCCCGTGGGTGTCAGGGCCCAGGTGGCTTCGCCGGGGTGGTAAAAGTGGGAGGCTGGGCCTCACCAAGCAGAGGTGGCAGTGGTCCCAGAGGGAGGGAAAAGTGTGAGGGTCCCGGAGGGGTTGGGGGGGAGAGGGAGCAGGCTAAGAGCAGATCCATGTGGGCTGGGGGCTTTGGGATGAGGTTGCTTGCAGCAGCTGAGGTGGGGAGGGGGCTACTGCAGAACGGGCCTCCTTCCTCCATTCCCCCCTCCCCCAGCTGAAGGCTCAGAAAAGACAGAGGCAGTGAGGTCGGCAGCGAGGCCTGTTTATTCTGAGGGCGCGCATGCGCTATGGCTTACGAGGCAGACAGCAGTGCCGGTCAGTGGGTTCAGGGCAGGGGAGGAAAAGACAGCGTCACAGAGTGTCCATGGGGCGGGGGAGGGGGTGCACCGGGCGGGGGCCAGGCCCAGAAGCTGGGGTCCTTCCTGGAGGCCGGTCTTGCACACTCGCCTCCCCAGGCCTGGGAGCTGCCCTGCAGAGCCAGGGGCCTGTCCAGAGGCTGCCCTTCTTGGGGCGGGGCCTCCATCCTGGGCCCCAGACCCCCTGCAGCGTGAGAGGCAGCACAGGGTAGCTGGGAGGCTGGCCTCGTGACCCCACACCAAGGAGGGCAGGGAGGGGAGGAGGCAGGGAAGCTCCTATAGCCACATCCTGCCTCCCCGGCTTTTCCCCAAAGTCCCCAGGAGCAGCCTGGGAGCCCCAGCTCACTCCGTCCCCTGGAAGTCCCTAGGACTCCCACTCGGGGTGGCTGGTGCCCGGGGCTGGGGGAGGAAATGGTTTGCAAGGAAAGGTTTGTTTTGTTGCAATTATTTAGAGAGCATGTCCCAAGGGGAGTGGGGGGGGGGAGGGCCCCTCTGGTATTAAGTGGAAACATGTGTGGAGCTAGAAATCTTTTTGGAAAAAAAGCAAAAACACAAATTCCTTTCAGTCAGCAGGCCTGGGGCAGAGCAGCAAAGGCCCTCAACCCACAGGTCGCCGCTCTGTGCACCCCCACCCGCTTCTCTCTCTCTGTCCCTCTCTGTTCCTCTTTCTCTCCCCCCGTCTCTCCCTCTCCTCCTCTCTGTCTCTCCCCATCTTGCTACAACAGGCCCCCCCGACACCCAGCGGGCAGGGGCAGGATGAGGGCTTATGGGAGCACAGGTTTGTTTCTGGGTGGTGATGGGACCACCCTCCAGCCCACTGAGGCTCTGGGTGGGGCCCAAAGTACAGGCGGGGGGTGCTCAGAAGTTGCTGAAGATCTCACGCTTGCGGTTCCAGTCCATCTGTGGCGCCCGCTTATTGACGCGTGTGGCTCGAGCCTTCTCCTTGGCCTCGGCCGCCGTGGGGCTCAGGTGGAGGCCACTCTCCTGGAAGGGGTCTCGCTTCCAGGCACTGCCGTCCTGGGGTGGGCAAGGGGGACGGGGTGCTGAGAACGAGCCCCAGAGCCCAGCTCCAGGCGGCAGCCCCTGCTGGGGAGCTGGCACCAGAGGCCACCTGGGTTGGGGGGGCTGTTCACTGGCCCCTGGAGGGCTTTCTGGAGGTGGTGGCCCCACTGCCCGGGCTGATGTCCCCTCAGACACCCACCCCAAGGCCTCTGGAACCCGTGTGTGTGAGGACAGCAACGGAGGGGAGGGCACCCGGGTACCTCGGTGTCCTTGTCCGAGCCGGGCAGGTCACTTCGGGATGAGCACGCCGAGCCCCCGTTGAGCTGGGAAACCAGGGCAGGTTGTGCCCTCAGCGTCCCACCCAGGGAGCCGCACAGAAACACACACCTGCATGCACACATACATACACACACACACACACACACACACACACACACACACACACACACGGCTACATCTGTTCCTCCACCCAGAGGTGGACACCACACCTCCAGTACGCTCCAGGTCCGGCTGGGCAGGATGCCGGTCCCCAAGCAGTGACCGGGCAGGTGGCCCTGGCCATGGCCGGCCCACGGCACAGTGAGGCAGTCTAGGTGCAGGAAGTGCCCGCATGAGCAACGCCCGGGGTGAGGCCAGGGCTTCATGAGGAGGCAGAGACTGGAGGCTGTCTCATTAGCCACGTGGTGCTAGGGACAGGGACAGAGAGCAGTAGCCCTGACCCTAGGTGCTCTGTGTGGCAGGGTGTGGCACTGACCCAGGGCAGGATCCACAGCGGGCATACAAGCTGGGGGTAATAGGGCCAGAGAGAGGGGGCTCACATCTGCACCTACTCAGGGAAGGGAGCCTCCAGCAGGCCTGGGGACCCCCAGAGGTGCCCCTGAGGTCTCCTGGGCCCCCCCCTCACCTGGGCAGGGCTGGTCCCGTTGGTGACTGGTGACGGCAGTGGACCTGTGGGGACAGTGTGTCAGTGGCTGGCCGGGCCCCCACTCTGCACCCACCTCTGTGCCCCTGGGGCTGCACCCACCTTCCACATGCTCCGAGGTGGGTGTGACCCGAAGCCGCTTGAAATGCTCGTCTGTCTCAGGGTCCACCACCAGCAGCCGGGCCTCGTCCTCCCGCGCCTTGATGCTGGCGACGACCTCAGCGTGGCGCAGCCCCTCCACATTCTGCCCATTCACCTGCCGCCACCAGCATGGGGTCAGCACTGCCCGAGGGCCCAGCCAGGCCCCCACACCACCTGGCCAGGTGTGGCATCAAATATTCATCAGCGCTACCACCAGCTGAGTCAGCGAGAGGAGTGCCAGCTCAGGTTCCCCGAGTCTCCCTCCTCCCAGCAAGGACCCAGGGCCCGGACATGGACACACAGACACACCAGGGGATGTGGGCACACACGTGAGGGGCCCCAGCTCCCCCCCCCCAGTACCTCAATGAGTCGGTCCTGGGCACGGAGGCCAGAGTGGGCAGCAGGTGAGCCTGGGTCCACGGAGCGGATGTACTGGCCGGGCCGGGACTTGTCACTGTGCAGGTTGAACCCATAGCCCTGAGGTCCCTTTCGCAGATGGCAGAGCCGAGGGCGCAGCTCCCTTGGGGACCCATTGACATCCTACAGGGACACGGGACTGGGCTCAGGCCCCGGCTCTAGCCTCCCACTCCCAGAGGCTATGCACCCTCGGGGAGCCGCTGCCCATCCCCAAACTCAGTATCACCCCGCTAAGGGCAGGCCCTAGGTCTCTGTGACAAACACTTGGGCACCCCCTGCCCCTGGGGCTGGCCCCTCGGGAGGGCTGCCTGTGCCTGAGCCTCCACTGTGGGATCCTGGGCAAAGCCTCAGTTTCTAAACCTGAAAACGTCTGCTGCCGGGACCAGCTGCCTTGCAGGGTGGCAGGGAGAGTTCACGACACTCAAGGACAGGCCTGCGCACAGGCGGGGTGTAGGAAGCGGCCAGGCGGCCGGGATGGCCAGTCCCGAGGCCCCGCTTGTGCACCCCTCCCAGAGCTCTCAGGCCAGGCAGTTTTGTTTTCTGTCCAAAGGCCTCCATGAGGCTGGCTGCGGTGGCGGCTGTGTTTGCTTTCACATTCCAGCAAACACGAGCTGCCCTGCCCCCACGGGCCCAGAAGGAAAGGCTGGGGCAGAAGCCCAGCGAGCCTGCCCACCTCCCTGCCCAGCCTGGGCACGGATGGCCTCATGGTGTCCTGTGCCCCACCCCCCGGGCCTGCCTCACTTTACCTCTGGCATCCTGCAGTAGGGCTCTGGGCCTGGGGGCCGGGCAGGCAGGGGCCAGGCCTGGTAACCCCCCAGCCGGCCGAGGCCAGGCAGTGCCTGCAGTGGCGGTGGCCAGCGGCTGCTGGTGCTCAATTAAACATGGCGATGGCGGGAGTGAGCGGGCAGGTGGCAGCTCAGGTTTCCTGGGAGCGCTCAGGGGCGTGTGCAGGGGACAGCCTGCAGGCCACCTCCCTGCATGTTGCTGAGGGACCGCGGGCAAGGCTAAGGCCTGGGCAGCACTGAGGGAGGGTCCCTCAGATCTCAGGGTTGGTCTCTAAGCCTTGGGCACCTGGCCCCCTACAGCCCAGACCACCCCCTGACCCACTCCAGCCGCCCTGCCTTCAAGCTGACTCCAAACCCCAATTCAGCCTGGGAATGGCCCATGTCCGTGGGCAGCCACTAGCCACGGCAGCAATGGTGTCCTCCTCTGCAGGGCAGGGACCTGGTCCCTGGCTCTGGGCTTCCCCTCAGTCTAGAGCACCCTCTTCCTGTTCAGCCTGTCCAGACACCTGGCCTGGGGGTCTCCTGCTGACCCTCTGAACCCTGCTACCTAGCTGCATGTGGCCCCATCGTCTGGGAACACCAGGGACTCAGCTGGCCAACATGAGCCGCACTGGAGAGCGCAAGACCCCCCAGATCTCCAGGGCCCCACCACACAGACGGCCCCTTTCCCAGACACAGCTGGAGGAACTGGTGTGGGGCCTTGAGACCGGCCCTGACACTGGAGGTGGCTCTCAGGAAACAGCAGCGAGGCTGGCCCGGGAGGAGCAGAGGGGCAGCGCCAGAGGCCAGAGCCAGAGGCGGCAGCGTGGCGTGGCCGTGCCCAGCCCGGCCCCTGGCCAGGTGCAGTGGCACGTCATGCGGTCACCGAGACAAGACAGCCAAACACACAGTCATGAACACACTACCTAGATGACATGCACAGCCACCCACACACACACACACACACACACACACACACGGACGGACGGATGTCCCCACGGTGCTGACCCCTGCAGTCCCTTCCCACGCCTGCACGGCGGCCTGCAGGACAGCATCTCTTGAGGTCCCCAAAGAGGAAGCAGGATTTGGCAAGCGTTTGGAGCCACAAGACCAGGCTGAGCTTCCACCTGTGTTCTCCGGGTCACTCTGGCCGTCCCTGCGCCTCAGTGCAGACCCGCTGGCTCTCACGCTCTCACCATTGGGCCGAGATTTTCCTCCTAACGCCTGGCCTACACCCCTCTCACTAGAGCAGGGTCCAAGGGGTGCCAGACTTGGCACCAGGCCTTCAAGTGGAGGGGCTGCTGGCAGCCGTGGGTGGGGCTGGAGGGCCGAGAGGAGCAGGAGCAGCGGGAGGCTCGCATTGCTCACATTCCTCCTCAGTGCCCTGGCTCAGCTGCACTTCCGGCGCCTCCCCAGGCCCTGGCTCCCACGGGCTCCCCACTGGGCAGCCCCAGGCAGCAGAGCTGGGCAAGCCCTGGTCCCCCAGCCATGCCTGTGACCACACAAAGAGGCTGGCATGGGGTACACCCCCAAATGGTGACTCACCAGCCCTGGCAGAGAAAGGCCTTCATTGTTGCCCGGGGTCCAGGCTGCTTATATCACAGTCCCGTCCCCTCTGCCTACCCTGGAGGGCTAAGCCCCCTGCCAGGCACCCCCGCCCCACCCTGCCCCACCTGACCTGCATAAGCCTCTGGGGCGGGCTCCGTGGAGGGGCTCCTCGGGCCGGGGCAGGCAGTGTGACGCTCCCAGAGCGGGCCATGACAGGCGGGACACACGAGCAGGCGGCCGGTTTCTGGCCAGCGCAGCCCGAGCTCTCTGGCCAGCCCAGGCTGCCACCCTACTTATCTACCTCCCACTGTGTCCCAGGCTCCCCGGGGATGGGTGGGGATGCGGGGCTGAGTCACTTTGGGGAGCAGGGTGGTGACTGAGCCCACTCCCCTGCGGAGGCTCCAGCCCAGCGCCCCCCACACAGCTGGATTTCCGTCCCAAGAAAGGAAGGAAGGAAGCTGCTGGAAGGCCCTGCCCTGCTCCAGGACCAAGGGCTGCGGGACAGGGAGGCAAAGGAGGGGTCCTGGCCCAGAACATACGACAGTCCCGCGGGGGCCACGGGTGCGTGAGAGCCGGGGAGCCTGTCACAGGTGCCATGTCCTGCCCTGTGCAGCCACCTCCTGCAGACTCTGTCACCCCTCACTCATTCTCAGCCCCCAAGGCCCTCTAGACAGGGGTGGGGCACAGGCTGGGGGCAAGGAAGCAGGGGACCCAGGGTCTGTCACCACCTCCATGGCCCTGGCACCACTAGCTGCCCGGCACCACTGCTGGGATCAGCTGCATGCAGCTGCAGCCACCCCCAGCCTGGTGCAGCCCAGGGCTGAGTCACCACTGACTAGGCCTTCACGGCCCCCAAAGGGAGGGGCGGCCACATCAGTGTCCTCCCCTGCCCCACTGATCCAGCCCCGGCCAGAACAGAGGACATGGAGACTGAGAGGGGCAAGAGTGGCCATGGGGCCCCCAGCTCTCCGAAGCAAAACCACACACATCAGGCTTCCATCCCTCTGCCACCAACACCCGGTCAGAGCACAGCCCTGCAGATTGAGCAGTGCCCACACCCTGCACCCAGCCCGAGCTGGGCAGTGTCTGAGCCTGGTGTGCGGGGGGTCAGATGAGGCCCAGCTCTCCTTGCGATGCTGTGAGCTCAGTTAATGAAATGTCAGGTCTCTGGCCAAGAGGGAGAAGGAGAGACCCTGTCCCTTGGGCCTCCCTAACCTCCTGGAGTCCCTGTCCCCAGGCCAGCCTCATCCACGGAGGGACCTGCCAGTCTGGCCTCTCTTTGTTCCTCTAAAAATACCCAGAGGAAGTCCCTCCTAGGGCTTCCTGCAGCCCCCAGAGCCTGAAATAGCAGAGGGGGGAAGGTCCCACCCAAGGTGCCTAAGCCGCCCCACCCTCCAGATAAGGCCCGAGGGCAGATTTTTCCACCCCAGTCAAACTCTGCCATTTGTGCCTAAATCAATGGATAGATGCTTGAGGGAGGGGAGCTTCCCTCTGGGAGTGAGACAGGGTGCCGGGAAGGAGGGAGGCTCCGACTTCAGCCTGGGGAAGGGAGCCTGGGGCCAGTCTGCCCGCCCCCCAGCTGGCCCCCAGCCCAGGGCTCAGCAGCCCTGACTGCTCCCATGGCCTGCCCTCAAGTCCCAGGGAACAGAGTGTCCCATGGGTCCCTATTCCCAGGCCAGGCTTCCCACCAGGAATGCCATGCCCCCACCAAGACAGGCTCCAAAGGGCTCAGCTCACGGGCACAGCCAGCTTGAGAGGGGAGACATTTGGGAAAGGGAAAAGGTAGACATCAAGTCGTCTGCACACCCAGAAACTTCAGACCTGACACCACTGCTGCCCCACGCCACTGATACTCAAAGTGGGATCTGGGGAACCCTGGACTTAAATCCTCTAAAGCTGCGGTCCCCAACCCCACCCCACCCCTGGCCTGTCAGGAACAGGGCTGCACAGCAGGAGGTGAGTGGTGGATGAGCCAGCAAGGTAGTCTGTATTTACAGCCGCTCCCCATCTGGCTCCCCATCTCTCGCATCCAGCCTGAGCTCCACCTCCTGTCAGATCACCAGTGGCGTTAGATTCTCATAGGAGCGCGGACCCTACTGTAAACTGTGCATAGAGGGATCTAGGTTGCACCTCCTTGCGAGAATCTAATGCCTGATGATCTGAGGCGGTGATGCTGCCACTGGGGAGCAGCTGCAAACACAGATTCTCATTAGCAGAGAGGTCTGACTGCACGATCAATGTAATGTGCTGGAATCATCCTCCAACCATGCCCCCTCCCACTTCCATGGCAAAACTGTCTTTCATGAAACCAGTCCTTAGTGCCAACAATGTTGGGACCACTGCTCTAAAGGGCTTTCTAAAAAAGAAGGAAAAAAGGCAGAGGGCGTGAGAGACAACTACATTACAGCTTCCAAGAGAGCAAAACCAATAGCTAGGCAGGGCCACCTATGAAGCCTGGCCACCTAGAAGGAGGTGGAACAGGCCCTTCCCTGTTCTTTTCGCAGTCTCCTGACCCGGGGTGGTGGCAGGGCAAGGGGAAGGTGCTACCCAGCAGGGGACCAAGAGGAACAAAAATGGGGGGAGGTGTGTGCTCACCCTGGAAGCTCCTGTGGGGCCTGCCAGGACCCAGCAGCAGGAGGGTAGCAGGCTGCAGGGGCCAGCGCAGCCCCGCTCCCAGCCCACTCCATCCCCCACGCCAGGCCCAGCCTGGAGTCCGCTGGGCTCCTCCAGCCCCTGCCCTGCCTGCAGGGGCCAACCCCCTCTAAGCCTTCGCACACACAGACTCCACAGGCAGGCACAGGGCTGGGCACACCCAGACCTGGAATGTCCCAGCAACTCCTCCCAGGGTTCCTCAGCCACTAGGCAGGGGGAACGGGGGTGTGGCTTATCAGAGTGACCCCTTCCTAGGCTAGGTGGCTTCCAAGCATCCCAGGGAAGAGGGGCAGGCCAGGCTGCCCTGACCCCATTGGGTTGGGAACACAGGCTGAGGGCAGAAAGCATGGCCACTACCCAGTGGCCAAGAGGGTAGTCACCAGGGACACAGACAGTGGTCGCTGGGGCAGAGAAGGGGCCCAAGAGAAAGAAAAGAAGAGACTTCCGGAAGTGACCGGAGGTGAAGACTGACATCAGGAGGCTGAGACGGTGGCTCTGGGAGGGGCCTGGTAGTCCTTGCGGGCTGAGCCCACCATACCTTCTTGCCAGCATCAGAGCCCAGGCTGCCCGCACATGCCCAGTCCGGCTTGGGCTCCCAGGGGTTGTGGGCTGGCGGGAGGCCCCGCTGGGCCATCTCCTCGGTGCAGGTCAGCTGCCGCCGGCGCAGCTCCTCATCGGTGTCCTTGTCCACCACCAGCAGCTGCGTGCGCCCCTCCACAGCCCTGATCCTCTGCACCACCTGGACAGGCAGGGGCAGGGGGGCAGGAGCAGTCAGCGGCCGGCACCCTGGGCAGCCCATAGGCAGTGGCACACTCTAGGCTGGCCCGGGCACAGGCAGGCAGCTGCTCTGCCAGGGTGGGCGGCTGGATGGAGAGGCCTGCCAGCCCCACCCCCCACCCCCGGGCTCCAGCGCTCCCTCCTTCTGGTCCCAGCCCCTGACTCTGAGGTCCAGGCTGCAAAGGCTTCAGTGTCCTCCCAGGGCCTTGCCCTTGGCCTGGGGTCTTCTCTAGGAGGAACGGAGGAGGGGCTGCCAGGTGCAGCCACCCGGGTGAGTTCATCTGCCTGAAAGTGACAAAGGTGGTGCATGGCTGGGCTTCAGGCTTTCAGGCTGCATGTGCGTGTGCATGCGTGTGCGTGTGCATGCGTGTGCGTGCATGCGCACGTGCATCCATCTGTTTTGGAGTCTGTCCTCAGTCCGGGTTTGAGGGAGAGAGGTGTCTCCCTGGATCCCTGTTTGGGTGTCTGTACCCATCCCTGTCTTTCTTTGTGGTGCAGTGTGGGGGTCTAAACCGCAGCCTGAGAAGCAGGATTCAGATCCAGCCAGCAAGGGGGAAGGGCAGGCCCACCTGTGGGACAGCGGTAGCGCAATGGCCACCTGTGTGTCTATGCAGGCGCCTGTGAAGTGTCTGGGCAGGCAGGGGGCCAGCATGTTCGCAGGGAGAAGGCGCGGTGCCAGGCGCAGTGCCGCGGGACAGCAGGGAAGGAAGGGCGGCAGCCCCACTCCTACCTGCAGCCTGGGGGAGGGCGGACTGGGCTCCCACCGGCTGCTAGGCTCCACAGGTGTTGTCAGTAGATGGGAGGGTCTGAATTAGGCCCATCTTCACCCGGCCCTCCTCTGGCCCTCCTCTTGCCCCATGACCCAGAGAGTGGCAGGAGGAACCCAGCACCCTGCTGCTTCCTGACTGTGTGACCCAGAGAAGTCACCCCAAATCTCTGAGCATCACTTTCCTCATCTATAAAATCGGGATCACAATTTCACTGCCGCCCTCCTGGGACACTGGGGAAGGTCTGCCACGGTTGTGTGTGTGAAGTTCTTAGAGATTAACGCCCAGAGGCCTTGGACACACAGGCATTACTGGGGCGAGGGTGGCGGAGACTATTAAACAGAGGCCGGGCGCCAGCACTGCCAGCCCTGTGCTCAGCCTGCCAGGCCAAGGCCTCCAGCCCTGACCCCCACCCTTCTTCAGCAGACACTCCGGGTGGAAGACAGAAGGGCAGCAGACAGATGGACAGACAAGGCCCCCCAGGTAGAAGGTTCAGCTCCTGGCCAGCCAAGAACTAATCTGCTAATCGCTAGGTCCCAGACTGCCCACATGGACAGGTCATGGACCTGGCGCTGTGAAGGACCCAGGGGACCCAGAGCAGAAGGGAGTCTGGGCCCCAACCAGGGTCTCAGGTGAGTCAACCCTCGGGGAAGAAGGCTGCTCTTCCTGGCCTTTGGTCCAGCCACAGGAGGCAGGGGCTGTGGCCAGTGATCCCCGCTGGGCTAGGTAGCCTCTGAGGAGGAAGCAGCATCTTTGGAGCTAAGGAATGTGCTGCCACCAGTGGCCAGCTCCCCTGGACCCAGAAACACCTGGCGGCACCCACAGTGAGGAGTACACACAGCCAGGCATGCAGACACCCAGGCCTGGATAAGCACGCCCCCCACCTGTTCACACA